ACACACACACACACACACACACACACACACACACACACACACACACAACTACAATAAATAAATAAATAAAATAAGTTTGTAATATAAAAAATAAGTTTTCTGCCTGCCTCTAATGCACAATTTGTTTGAGTCTGACTCAACTTTATGAGTCTCTATCACAAAAAGGTCAGACTTTGTCCAAAGCATTTTAAAATTTTAATTTTAGTGTTTATGTGTGTGCTTCTGTATCTCTGTATCTTAAAGCAGGTGTATGTGATGCCTGAGGAAGGTCAGATTGAGTGTAGATTGCCTGGAGCTGGAGTTGTGAGCTGTTCCTATTGGTGCTGGGAGCCAAACAAGTGTACTGAATGAGCAGCAAGTGTTCTTACTGCTAAGCTAGCTCTACCACCCATTCTGAGGATTTTAACTCTAATACTTTGAAAAATCGTCTCAATTGCTTTTAAATTACAAAATAATTCCCAGACTCTGTCAAGGCTTTACATAACATCTGGAACTGTAAGGTCAAATATGCATATACACAGTAAAATCAGTTGTTCACAAAAATATTCATATCTATATTAAGCATGAACTAATTTTTGCCTTTTAGAAGATGTAGGCTTAGATCATAGCACTTATTAATGCAGTGAACAAAACATCAGCCTCCAACACTGAGAAGATGCTTACCATGTTAATTCCTGTTCCAACAGATTTCTCACAGCCTGCAAGGCAGGCTGACATGTATGCTATTCCATTGTCTCCACACACTGGATCCCATGTTTTGGTTAAACAGTTACACCTTGTGTTGCAGTTAGCAAGAATCTTTTTCTCCACATATAATGGCTGCTGAATTCTGAAATGATTTAAAATAATGTTACAGATAGTGAAGAACCACCATGCTATTTATCTTCTTCTCTTTATCTCAGCTTGTGTGTGTGCAAACATAGAAAATGAAACAGGATGAATCAGTAAATTTGCAAAATAATGTTTTCAATAATACCAAAGTAGAATTGTACAGAGTAACTCTGTCTCCAGTCGTGATGACTTCACACAAGGTTTGAGTGACAGGATTTGAACTCAGCTTCTAGAATCCTATGTTACCCCTTTCCAAACCCATTAAAAAATTTGGGGCATGTGTTTTCTATTGCAGAAGATGATGCCTGATTACTCAAACCACTGTTTTGTGGGTTTAAATGAAGCATCTATTTTATAAATGGAAATTACTGATGTTGCTCAAGCTAGTCCTTTTTCATTTTTTCCCACTGTGCAAATTAATAACAAATTACACTCCTCATTTTTAGTTCTAATAGTACAGCATTTTCTTACATGGTTGGTAATTAATATTTATTTTTGAAATAATTGAAAAACCAGCCATATAGATGACTTGTGTGCCAATGAAATAGTCCAGAGATCACAAACTGATATTTGGGTGTTTTCTGTTTTTGCTGTGGAGGAGGAGATGAATTGTGTTTCTTTCCCTCCACCCAATTTCTCTATCCTCCCTTCCTGAGTCTCTCTCTCTCTCTCTCTCTCTCTCTATACCTCTCTTGTCTCTCTCTCTGTGTGTGTGTGTGTGTGCGTGTGTGTGTATGTAAGCACATGTATAATAACATGCATGTGAAGAGCAGAAGACAAACTTCCATCTTGTTAGATATAGAGTCCTCTGTTGCTCACTGATGCATATGCCAAACTAACAGGCCTATGATCTTTCAGGTTTTTCTGACCATGCCTCTCAGCTCACAGTAGGAATGCTGGGATTACAGATATCATGACAAGCTATACATGCATTCTGGGGATCTAAACTTAGGTATTTCTGCCTATCCGGTAAATATTACAAATGAGTTGTCTCCCCAGAACCTTGAAAGGAATGCTCATGTATATGTTTTATTTCATTTTGGTTGATTGGATGATATATAACTCTGCCCTAAACTAAGCTTTACATTTTTTATGCTAATACAGAATATGATCAGGTAATCCTTAAAATACAAAGTCTAAGACTACAAAGTATATGAGATATAATTATATTGTTGACATAAATAAATATGCACACATATTGACTTGCCATGTATTAGACTCAACTGTGCTAAATTTGTGCCCATTGTAGAAATCTATGAAGGTTTCTTGGCCTGTATAGCTGAGTTTTAAAACTATCTGTTGTTATATTAAACATTTTAAGTGATCTGGAATATAAAATACATGGATAATTTAGGCTACAAATATCTAGATTATTTTCTTCACTATACTTCAAAGCAGACTAGGATATCATTTTGGCAACTACTCATATGTACATAGAATTATAAATTTACTCATTGGTAGTCCCTAGGCATCTTTAATAGGCTCACATTTGTATATGATTGATGGGTGAAAGAAAAATACAGGATAACTATGTATGATTGTCTTTATGTTGTAATAAAATAACATGGTCATATTCAGTGCTTGAAGAAAAATGACTTAACATTAGTGAAAATATTATGACCTTGGTGTGAGACAATTCTATATTCTGTCAATTATATTTTAACTAAATGGTGATTGGCCGGTAGCCAGGCAGGATGTATAGGTGGGACAACGAGACAGGAATTCAAGGCTGAGCAATAAGAACTGGAGTATTTTTGGAAGAAAGAAGCTCTCTCCAGTCCTGTCTCAACCACCAAAGAAGAAAGACCTGACCTGCCCTACTGAAAAAGGTACTCAGCCATGTGGCTAACATAGATGAGAATAATGGGCTAGGATATGTTATAAGAGCTAATATGAAACCTGAGCTAATTGGACAATCAGTTTATAACTTATAAAGACCTCTGTGTGATTTTCTCTGGGACTAAATGGCTGGGGGACTGGGTGGGACAAAAACCCCAACAAGCAGGCCCTCATGTTACATGACTGTACTTAGGAAACAACATACCGTTCGTGTTCATAAGATGTAGTTAAGCCAGCAACTGGGAAATTATCACAGGTCCACATAAAGTTTAATAAAAATAGAAGCCACTCAGTCAGGGATAAGCAGAAAGCTACATATGCAGCTTTCTTGACAGTAAACTTGAACTTTTTCATAACCAATCCGCCAATTAAATATCCAGTAATTACTGGAGGTAAGTTATAGATACCTATAAATGAAAATAGAATAGTATTTATAAAACACAGCAGAAAAATAAATGTTATCAATTTTTAAAAACATCGTACTTAGGAAATTACTTAACTCAAGTATACATTATCATAACCCCTACTCATTCACATATTTCAATTGTCCCATAATGTCACTTTAAAAAGAGAATTGGCATTTACCTAATGATTTAAAACAAGTTATAAACACATTGTAACCCTCACACAGACAGACACACAAACTCGCATACACACAATTAAGTATTTTAAGTACTTTTTTTTTACTTTGAAATTTTGAAGGTCACCACTGAACCCATGCTTATCACATATAGAGCATTCTGTGCACTGCTTATGTTGCACAGAAATCTTTCTTCCTGACTCTAATTCCACTGCTTAAAAAACATTAAATGGAAGTAATAAGCCTGACCTTTTGACTGAGCATTTACTATTAATATAAGCCTCAGTGAGTTTATTTGAGAGCACAAAAGGGTAGTCAGGAGCAACTTATTGGTAACTGCCTTTTTTCCAGTGACTTCTGCTTGCTAGCAATGAGCAGAGGTGTGACTCCTTTAGGAGACAGCTACCTGGCATGGCAAAAAATGGGCAGTTCTCTTGAGAAGCTCTGCTACTAAATTCTTAAGTGGTGTATATGAATGGTGGATGATATGCTATTTGGTGACTTTGTACACCCAGAAAGTTCCTAAAGTTAGGGCGATAACATAGCTTCCAGAGCTGGTGGTAAACATACCTTAGCAATGAGACTGGGGTCTCATGGAACCAAGCAGTTGGAACCTGCCACAAGATCTGCCAGTGAAAAGCCATTTAGCAGTTTAAAGGTTGACTTGTGTGGTCAGAAAAGGATAAAGATACAAAATAAAAGGAGAATCAGATTGGAAAAAAAATGTCTAAATATTCCATGGTGTTTAAAAATATATATAAGCTTAAGAAAGAAAACAAACTGAGTACCGAAAGTCACAGAAAGAATAGTTTAAAGTTATAAAGTCTTTAAAAAGAGAAGTACAATAAAAAAAACGATTAAGCCATGCAGAGATGAGGAATACACAGGGAGTCTAAATAAGGTATGTTATTGTATTAATTTTGAATTTTTTTTAAATTATAATGATCAAAAGACAGTTGCTAGGGGACATGGAATTGTCAGTAGGATGGCAAATTTTAAAATTTGGGCTATCTTAAATTTAAAAATGAAATAAAAATATACTTGTCAAATAAAAATCAAAAATGTTTTGGAGAAGAGTATTTGCTTTTGTTTCCACAAGAAACAAGAATCTGTGAATTCCTTCAGGAATAATATTTGTCAGGTTTGATCATGGAAGACCTCATGAATCTTTCAGATTATATCTATAAGTTTACTGCTTATCTTCCTAGCACTTGGTCATTATCTCAAATTATCTCAGGCACCCTAAAGATGCCTTCACCAATTTGAAGAACATAATGCCATATTTCCAAGAGGTGCAGGGGAGGCTTTGGTTATTTGGTGGCCTATGGATGTTTGCTATCAATTAGGGGAATATCATATGTTGATGTAAATTTAAGTGAATTTTGTGTCATGGCATACATGTTTCTACAGTTGTTTAAGTTGCTATACCTTTGTAGTTCATTAAAAAAATAAAAGCTGAAGTTCTGGTTTTTAAAAGTTACTGTAAAATATTTAGGGTAATCAACAAGTACAAGTTGTAGTTAGTCTCACGACAATCATATTTGTAGACATGTTAGGCTTGTTTTCAAGATCATGTAGAGATATATTTTAGATAGATAAATGATTTTCAAGCACTCCAAATATCTACAGAATATGACACATGAAATGTGCTGATAACATTAGGTTTTTCATGACAATGAGACACATCTTCTCCTGGTATCACCAATTTACTTCAGAGAAGGTAATAAGCATTAATTCAACTCTGTAGGCATTTGCTTTTTTGGAGCAAGATTTGAAATTTTAACCAGAAACTACTTTTGCCTTGACTACTTGACTGCATACTCTATAATCTGGACATGCCAGATCCATAGGAAAAAGATTGCTGAACTTAGCCGAAACAAGGCAGGTCAGTCTTTCAAGATTCTTGCTTCATAGAAATGTTTGCCAGACATTTTGCAGGACACATAGGAAAATGTCTGCTGAACTTTTCCAATACAAGGCATGATAGTCCTTTGAGATTCCTCCTTCATGAAAGAATCTGTCAGACATTCTGCAGGACACAAAGGAAAACAATGATGAACTTTGCTAATATAAGACAGGTAGGTCACTCAAATTTCCTGCATCACAGAAAAGTCTGCCAGATACTGTAAGATGGTGGAATTAAGATGGATGCCCTCCAATGTTACAGAGAAACTTGACTACTGTTCAGGCAGCAAGATGTATGTCCTGTCATTAAGTAACATATCATTCTTCTGGGGCCTTTGATAGAGTTGTAGATTAGTCAGTCATAATTATAACTTTCCTCAGTTACAATGAATAAATTAAGTATAAAATTTAGAATCACTGAGATAAGATAGATGACAGAATATTTTATATAATTTTGCCAAATACAAATTTACTAGATATTGTACCTGTAATTCTTAATAACTGTTTTTGTTGTTTATAATCTTACTATGTTAAAGTTAAAACCTTCCATTTTAATTAGACAAAAAGTGAGAAATGCTGTGGAATAATCATTTTGTACACTGTAAATATGTATTACCCTCATTGATTTAATACAATTGATTGGCTAATAGCTGAACAGGATTGAAATAGGTGGGAGAGTGAAACTAAGAATGAGTAAAAGAAGGGTAGAGTCAGAGGAGTCACCAGCAGAAACTGAGGGAGCAGGAGACAAATGTGTAATGTTAATAAAGTTGCCACCATGTGGCTGTAGTGAAAGGAACAGTGGGCTATGTTCCCACTGGGATCCCGGCTCCCCAGCTAGTTTACACCCAAAATAATTACATGGAAACTGTATTCATTTAAACACTCCCTAACCCGTTAGTTCTAGTCTCTTATTGGCTGATTCTCACATCTTAATTAACATATTTCTAATAATCTGTGTAGCACCATGAAGTGGTGGATTACTGGGAAAGATCCAGCATGTCTGACCTGGTGGCTTGCTCCATGGCATCTGCCTGACTCTGCTTTTCTTTCTCCCAGCGTACTCCACCCACCTATGTTCTGACCTCTCAGGACAAGCAGTTTATTAATTAACCAATGAAAGCTACACATAGAAAGAAGACCCACCTACATCATGTGGCTGAATATAATTAACAATTATGAGTTAATTTAAAATGTTTGATCTGGTTAGCAATAAACATGAGCTATTGATTGAGGATTTGTAATTAGTATAAGCCTTGGTGTGTTTATTTGGGAGTTTCTGGAAGGACTGAAACTTCAATCTATATAAATGAAACTAGGAAAAATTCAAAGTTAGGTAGGATCCCTAGGTTTACTGTACTAACAAGAAAAGCAGATGTGACTACACAAACCCCACAAACCTCCAGAGGACTTAGTGACTGAATTAGGAATAATGTGGAAGGCAAGAATTGAAACTCAGAAGTAAAACCTGGGAATAAGATATAGAATCCCAGTTAGTTAAATCTATATTCCTCTTTGAATTAATATGTTGCCTATCTAAAAATTGACTAATATGAACATCCCTAAAGATTTCCATAATGATGATGATTTCATTATGATTAGAGAGAGAACAGAGAGGATATTTTTGGCCTTTTCCTTTCTTTATCAATTTTTGATTTATTTTCCTGGAGATTAGAAAGAAGAAATTTACAAATGTGCTAACAGACATCAATTTTCTTGTAGTTTCCAAGTCACATTATCATGTTGTTTTGTATGTCTTTGGAGACAATTTTTATCATGTACTTGAGGAAAGGGAAAGTGATACTAAAGAAATAATAAAATTACATACCTATAAGAAAGACTATCTCTGCAGTTGATTTTCCATATTGCAGTTCCAGGTACTTAGGAAGGAAGACAAATGTTGTGGTAAATGAATTGATCTGAAGCACACTTACAAGGACAAAAAGCACATAAATCGGATTGCTGAAGAGGCTCTTCATGAATGGAAAGAAATCTGAAACAAGAGAGCGTCAAGACCATCAAGATAGCCCAGTCTTGGTTTTTGTGTCTGCTAAACTGAAATCTTTTCACAGATTCTGTTTGTTACACAAATGCATTTAATAAATCTTTACCCTTCTGGGCTAAAGTTCTTTATCATCGTTTAAGGAGATTTTGAAAGATAGTAACTAAACTTGCTTTATAAGAATCAGAACCCAATTGTGCCATCAAGCACAATCTATAAGGAGATTATATCATATCTATGGTCATACCTTTTATTTTTTTTTACTTTCCCTTTTACTTATATCCTGCATTCACTAGAGAGTGACTAGTCTGTACTCTGGAAACTTCAAGGGACCCTCTTTGATGAAGTTTGAGCTCAGATACTGATGTTAGCACACCATTGTGGAAAAATAGAGAAGCAAAAAACTTAGGAAGACTCCAAGAAGCTTGCTGTGACTCAGCCAACCTCAGCATCCCTGCAGCACTTCCATTTATTAGAGAAATTAGTGATATTTTTAAATTTCTCAACACAAGGGTCTCACTGCAAGGGATGCTAACTCACTTAGTGTAGACCTTCCAACTGACTTTACCAGAATCTTTTCCTGTTTAGCTGGCTGTGACTCAAGTTTGTAGCCTCTTTCTGCTAAATAGATGAAACCTTACAAAGATAATTTCACTGACCTCTACACTAAATAATCTCTTTTCTTCTCCTCATGTTTTCTAATTGCATTTCTAATTCCATACTATCCTTAATAAATTGTCTAAAGTTTTAAGAGAGCAAAATACCAAAAAAAATTTTAGCACATTAGGAAGAGCAAATAGTGGCAAAATCCATCTTTATGAATGTGAGGGATGCAACCGGAACTCCCAGAAGGTTTTGAACTCACCCATGTTTGTGGACATCCCTGTTCTCCTAAATGAGTCTCCACATTTTACATTGATTTTTCTATGTGTCTTATACTATGCTAAGTTCTTTCCTACTCTTGAATATCAGGTTGACCTAGCAGACCACACAATCACACATAACAATCAGTATTATTCCTTTTAGGAGAATCATTAACATGACCACAATTCTAAGAGTGTTTAAGCCTCAAAAGTTCATCCTGATGTAACTGTCTGCCAAGTTGTGGTTAACAGTGTATAAGGTAGATGTGTGTCATTCAGTGCATGATGGTTTTAAAAGTTATGAGTGACAAAAAAAATAGGTACATCATTAATAAAGTTCTCCTCACAGTACTCTGGACAAGGATAGTACAGAAACGCAAGAATGTAATGTGATTTTCTTTTCATTTTACAGGTAAATAAATAGTGCCTTCCTATCTTCCAACTATAAACTTTCAAAATTTCAGAGCCCAAGTCTTGCTCCCCACACAATTATGAAGTTTATGCTAAGATTTAATAATAAGTAGTCTTTAGTCTCTAGACCCTAGGCCCCAAGGCAAAACCCTGGGCCCCTTCCCCATCTGACTCAGTTGCACTTCCTGCATGCAGGTTGCTTTAGAAACCCTCATCAAACCCAGTTCCACTATGCTCCCAAACCCACCCTACAACCATGACCTCAGTGACTCCCTGAGACACACACATGGACTCTACAAACAGATTAAGAACAGCTCCCTGACACAGAAAGCAATTGCATCAGTTCAAGACAGGATCCCAGAGACACAGACACCACCTACAAGAACTGGACCAAGAGGCAAAGATACTGCCTGAATGAATTACAAGACGAGATGGATAGGTACCAATGAAAGAAGACATTCAATACATTCAATATTTGTTGCAATGTGGCAACAACAAAACCTAGTATCCTAATACAGAAGAAGCAGAAAAATATAACTTTATGAAGACGGTAGAGACTCTTAAAGAGGAAATGAAAAAAATCCCTTAAAAATATGGAGGAAAAAAACAAAAGTTGAAAGAAATCAATAAATCTCTTATGGAAAACCAAGAAAAAAAAACAATTAAAAAGGTGGAGCGAACAGTTAAAGACTCAAAAATTGAAATAGTGGCAATAAAGAAAACACAAAATGAGGGAATTCTGGAAACCAAAATCTGGGTAACTAAATAGGAGCTAAAGATACAGCAAAAACAAAAGAATACAAAAGATGAAAGATAGAATCTCAGGAACTGAAGATGTGATACATGAAATAGATTCATCAGTCAAAGAAAATATAAATTCAACATTTTTTGACAAAAACATACAGGAAATTGGGACAAAATGAAAATATCAAACCTAAGAATAATTGAGATAGAAAGAGAAGTACTCAAGCTCAAAAACACAAAAAATTTATTCAACAAAATTATAGAAAAAAAAACTTCCCCAATCTAAAGGTAGGATATGCCTATGAAGGTAGAGAAAGCTTACAGAACACCGAATAAACTGGAAAAAAGTCCTGTTGTCATATAATAATCAAAACACTAAACATACAGAATAAAGAGAGAATATTAAGAGCTGCTAGGCAGACGGTCATGTAACATATGAAGGCAGACCTATCAGAATTAAAACCAATTTTTAATGGAAATTCTAGAAGCCAGAATGTCATAGACAGATATGCTTAAGACACTAAGAAACCATGGATTTAAACCCTAGCTATTATACTCTGCAAAGCTTTCAATCACCATTGTTGAAAAAAAAAACCCAAGATAGTCTATGACAAAAACAGATTTAAATAACACCTATCCACAAATCCAGCCTTACAGAAAATACTTTAAGAAAAACTCCAATAAAAGGAATTTAGCTCTACCCACAAAAATGCTGACAACAAATGATCTCACATCAGCAAATCCCTAAGACGGGAAATGTAATGCCCTGTCTTCCCTGTTCCTTGAGGCCAAAGCACAGGATGCAAGAAATGTTTATGCTAACCAGCTTAGCTTCCCCTGCTCAATTCTGCCAGCTGGAGGGGATTAGTTCAGAACCTTGTTTCTGTCTTTGCTATGGTAATTTCACCTGCTAAATAGGGTTCTCACAGGTGCCCTGAATCTCCTCCTATCTGTCTGTCAGTGTTCCCAGCCTGGCACCCCCTACCTGAAACTTGGTGCCAGGCGCTCAACACCGTGATCTCACACCTGGCTGGGAGGGAGCTCTCCACTTCTGGGGCAAAAGTATTTAACCCTGGATTAAGTTGAATAAAATTGGGCATTCTCCCTGAGAATGACTCAAACTCTCTGTCTGTGTCGTGTCCGTCTTGTGTTCAACCCCTAGGACACTATAGAGCTCGTGAAAAGTATGGAATCCCGGTCCATACTGGGTGGGTGGTGATGCAAGACCCCGTGTCATGGAAAGACCGCCACAGGGAAACACACAAATACTACCACTGAAAAATAACAGGAGTTAACAATCACTGCTCATTAATATCCCTTAATATCAATGGACTCGATTCACCTATAGTAAGACATAGGCTAATAGAATAGATACAAAACAGGACCCATCCTTCTGCTACATAGAAGAAATACACCTCAACCTGAAAAAGAGATATTACCTTAGAGTAAATGGTTGGGAATAGAATTTCCAATGGAAAGGACTTAAGAAACAAGCTTGTGTAACTATCTTAACATTAAAAAAAATACTTCAAACTAAAAGCAATCAAAAGAGATGGAGAAAGATACTACATACTCATCTCAGGAAATCGATCAAAATTAAATCTCAAATATGAATATCTATGCCCCAATTACAAGAGCACCCACATAAGTAAAAAAAAAAATATTTACTAAAGCTTAAATTGCACACCAAATCCCACACACTAATAGTAGAGGACCTCAACACCCCACTCTCACCATTGGATATGTCTGCCAGATGGAAACTTAACAGATAATAAGAGAACTAATAGATGTCATTATTCAAATGTACTTAACAGACATCTACAGCACATTTGACCCAAACACAGAAGAATATATTTTCTTCTTAATACCTCATGGAACCTTCTTTAAAATAGACCACATAGTCAAGAACAAAGCAAACCTCAACAGATACAAAATAATTGGAATAACCACCTCTATCTTATCAGATCATCATGGCTTAAAGTCAGAATTCAACAACAACACTAATTTCAGAAAACCTACAGATTCATTGAAATTGAACAATGCTCAACTAAGTAAACCCTAGATAAAGGAAGAACTAAAGAAAGAAATTAAACTTCCTAAAATTCAACAAAAATGAATACACAACATACCCAACCCATGGCACACTGTGAAAGCAGTTGTAAATGGAAAGTGCATTGCACTCAGTGCCTACATAAAGAAAGAGAAGAAATCTCATACTAGTGACTTAACACCACACTTGATGGTTATATGACAAAAAGAAGCATTCTCACCCAGGAGGAGTAAAATGGCAAGAAATAATAAAATTGAGGGCTGAAATCAATAAAATAGAAATAAAGAAAACAACACAAAATATCAATGAAACAAAGAACTGGTTCAAAAAAAAAACAACAAAATAGACAAACATTTATCGAAATGAACCAAAGGCAGAGAAAGAATATCAAAATTTTAAAAATCAGAAATGAAAGGGGGAATATAACAACAGACACTGAGGAAATCCAGAAAATCATTAGCTCATAATTTGAAAACCTATGATCCACAAAATTTGAAAAAAATATAGAAAAAATAAAAAATTTTCTGAATAGGTACCAGAAATCAAGGACACATAAACAATTTAAATAGACCTATAACCCCTAAAGAAATAGAAGCTCTCATCAAAAATCTCTCCCTCTCTCCACCCCCAAAAAGCTCAGGACTGATTGGTCTCAATGTAGAATTCTGTCAGAACTTCAAAAAAGAGCTAATACCTATACTCCTTCAATTTTTCCACACAATAAAAACAAAAGGAACATTACCAAACACTTTTATACAAGGCTACAGTTACCCTAATACCCATGCCACACTCAATAAGAAAGAGAATTACATACCAATCTCTCTCATGTACAATGATGCAAAAATGCTCAAGAAAATACTAGCAAACTGAACCCTCAAACACATCATGAAATCATACCAAAACTCAAGGTAGCTTCTTCCCAGAGATGCAGGGATGGTTTGCCTTTTAAAGATCTGTCAATGTAATCCACCACATAAATAAATTGAAATGTAAAAATGATCATCTCATTAGATACTGAAAAAAACTTTTGATAAAATCCTACAGCCCTTCATGATAAAGGCCTTGGAGAAATCAGGGATGCAAGGAACTTACCTAACATAATAAAAGCAATATACGGCAAGTCGACAGCCAACATCAAATTGAATGGAAAGAAATTCAAAGTGATTACACTAAAATAAGGAATAAGACAAGGCTGTCCACTCTCTTCTTATCTATTCAATATACTACTTGCAGTTTTAGCTAGAGCAATTAGACAACAAAAAAAGATCAAGGAAAACAAATTAGAAAGGAAGAAGTCAAACTTTCATTATTTGCAGATGATAAAATAGTAGACATAAGTCATCCCAAAAATACAACCTGTAACTCCTACTGATAAATACCATCAGTAATGTGGCAGAATACAGGTAAACTCAAATAATTAGTATTGCTCCTATATAAAAATGACAAATGAAACGAACTGAGAAAGAAACAAGAGAAACATCACCCTTTACAGTAGCCACAAGTAACAAAAAATTTCTTGGGTAATGCTAAACAAAGAACAGAAGAATCTGTATGAAAAGAACTTTAAATATCTAAAGAAAGAAACTGAAAAAAAATACCAGAAAATGGAAAGATCTCTCATGCTCTTAGATAGGAGATCAACCTCAAAATATGGCAATCTTACTAAAAGAAATCTACAGATTCCATGCAATCCCCGTCAAAATCCCAACACACTTCTTCATAGAACTTGAAAGAGCAATATTCAAGTTCATATGGAAAAACAACAAACCCAGGATAGTCAAAACAATCCTTCACAGGAAAAAACCTTCTGGAGGCATCATCATCCCTGACTTCAAGCTCTACTATAGAGCTATAGCAATAAAAACAGCTTGGTATTGGCATAAAAATTGGCATGAGTAACAATGAAATCAAATTTAAGATCTGGATATTAATCAATACACTTATGAAAACCTGATATTTTAACAAAGAAGCTAAATTTATACAATTAAAAAAAAGAATGCATCTTCAACAAATGATGCTGGCATAACTAGATGTTGGCATGTAGGACACAAATAAATCTATATCTACTTCATGCACAAAACTCAAGTCCAAATGCATCGAATGCCTCAACATAAATCCAGCCCCACTGATCATCACATAATAGAAATAGGGAAGTAGCTTTGAATGCATCAGCACAAAAGACCACTTCCTAATCCGACATCAGTAGTGCGGACACTGAGAGCAACAATCAATAAATGGGACCTCCTGAAACAGAAGTTTCTCAAAGGCAAAAGACACAGTCAAAAAGACAAAACAGCAGCCTACAGAATGGGAAAAGATCTTCACCAAGGAATTGCTCAACATCCTTAGCCATCAGGGAAAAGCAAATCAAAACGACTCTTATTATACCACCTTATACCAGTCAAAGAGGCTAAGATCAAAAACACCGATGATAGCTTATGCTGGAGAGGATGTGGAGTAAGGGGAACACTTTTCCATTGCTGTTGGGAGTGCAAACTTGTACAACCACTTTGGAAATCAGAATGGCAGTTTCTCAGAAAATTGAGAATCAATCTACCTCAAGACCCACCAATACCACTCTTGGGCATAAACCCAAAGGATTCATACTCATACCACAAGGATATTTGTTCAGTTGGGTTCACAGCAGCATTATTCATAATAGGCAGAACCTGGAAGCAACCTAGATGTCCCTCCACCAAAGAATAGAAAAAAAATGTGGTACATTTACACAATGGAGTACTACTCAGCAATAGAAAACAATATCATCTTGAAATTTGCAGGCAAATGGATGGAACCAAAAAAAATCCATAAATTTGTTACCCCACTCAGGTAACCCAGATCCAGGAAGACAAATGTGGTATGTTCTCACTCATAAGGGGCTACTGAATGTAGAGAAAAGGAAAACGAACCCATAGTACATCACCCCAGAGAAACTAGGTAACAAGAACCCTAAGAGAGACATACATGAATCCCCCTAGGAAGGGAAAATAGACAGGATCTCCTGAGGAAATAGGTGAGGTCTCCTGGGTAAACTGGGAGTAGACGGGGCAGTAGAGGAAAGCAGATGAGGGATGAGAACATACAGGAAGGGTATGGTTGAGTTGGGGGAAGGGTGGATAGAGAGCAAAATGAAAGAACACGGGGAGGTAGAAGGATAAAGGGGAAGAGAAGAACCTGAGGGACTGTAATGGTCAAAACGGAAGCCAGAGAGGTAAAGCAAGAAGAGTTGTCTTGATTGAGGGAGCCACTAGCAGGAAACCTCGCAGTAGGGAAATTCCCAGGAATTCATATGGTTGAACTCAGCTAAGATCCTAAGCAATGGTGGAGAGGATGCCTGAACTGTCGTTTCCTTGTACTTAGATTGATGACTATGTTAATTGTCATCATAGAACTTTCATCCAGCAACTGATGGAAGCAGATGCAGAGATCCACAGGGAAGCACTAGGCTGAGCTCTGAGAGTCCAGGTGAAGAGACAGATGAGCAACAATATGAGCCAAGAGGTCAAGACCAGAAACAACTGACTTGAGCTAGTGGGAGCTCCCTGACTCTGGACTGGCAGTGGGGGAACCTGCATAGCACCAAAGCAGGCCCTCTGAATGTGGATAACAATTGTGTGGCTTGGGCAGTCTGTGAGGCCACTGGTAGTGGGAGCAGGATTTATCCCTAGTGCTTGCACTTAATTTTTGGAACCCACTCTCTATGAAGGGATACCCTGGTCAACCTAGATATAGGATGAAGGGCCTTGTTCCCGTCTCAACGCGATCACCTTCGTTGATTCTGCATAGGGAACCTTACCCTCTCTGATGAGTGAATTGCGGTTGAGTAGAATAGAGGTCAGGGGTGGAGGAGGAGAGGAGGGATTGGGACGTGTGATTGGCATGTAAAGTAAGAAAGATTGATTCATACATACATACATACACACACCCACACATACATACATACATACACACACACACACATACATACATACATACATACATATAGGCATGGGCAGTCTTCACCACTCAGCTTCTCACAGATGCACCACTGCTCTGCACCAGAGGTTAACATTCCTGCTTGTTTTACAGCAGTCTGCTCCTTAGCGAACAGTTCTCAGGTAATCTATCACACACCTACAAATACAGAGGATTAAGTCACCCCTCAAGTTTTTCTCCTCCAATCTTAACTTCAAGCAGGCTCCTAGCTGAACTGTCATTTATCTTATCACTCTATGGTGTTACCTTAGTACAGGTAATTCTCTCCCATTGTCTTTACCTTGAATTTCTGGTTGTTTTTTTTTTTTTAACTTGGAACAATATTTTCTGTAAAATAGACTTTTAAAAACAGGTGGGAAAAATATATTTGCTCATTGAGTGTCCAGATTGATGAATTTTCCATAAAGTCTGATCTCAGATGTGCTGTTTACAAATTACATAAGTTGTTTCCAAGCGGTAACTTGGGAAGAAGTTTAAGGCATCTGAGTAGGGACCCTTAGTGACAAACCATCTTAACTCAGCACAGCAGACACATGCTCCACTACCTGCAGACCCATCTAAACCAAACACAGGGATTAAGCTTTGTCAATTTGCCTTTAGTGATTCCACGTTTTTCCTTTCTTGCTTTTCCTTGGTGTTTCTCTTTGTCACTTGTAGTCACATCTGCATTATCCTCTAGTCCTTCTTTTGGGAGCTTGTTGGGAAGAAAGAAAAAGGGGATGCTGGTCAGGATATTCACTCCTGCACAGATCAAAAAGCCGACCCACCAAGCACCGACCCAGCGCGTATCAGTGGGAGTTATGGTCAGGTCACCTGTGGAGAAATACAGATATTTTATTAGCTTGATTCATTCTTTCTGGGGTAAATTGTAGAAAATTGTTAAGAATCATAATCCCATCCAACTACAATATTCGTGTATTGTTTGTAAATTATTTACATTTGTTCTTTTTGAAGTTATTTACTGCAGTCCCTGCCTCTATTCCTAAATGCTATGATTACAGATATCTTCTACCCCTTTGGGCAAATTCAGACCTATAGAAAAACTATCTGAGTTTAATCAATTGAGTAGAGATAAAATTATCTAGGAAAGAAAGTTTCTGGATTTCTATAAGGTGTAGTAGTTAAAACTGTATTTCAAAATGACATAAAAATGATTTGAGACATTTAAGGAACCAGTTTTAACCTGACCTGTTTATATCTCAAAGTATCACATTGAGTGAGAAAGGGGCGTGGAGAGAGAGTTCAGTGACTAAGAGTTACTGCTGCTCTTGCAGAGTCTCTGGGTTCTATTCCCAGCACACTCATGGAAACTTACTACTGCCTATAATTCTGATTTTACAACATCTGTATCTCTCTTTCAAACTCATTAGGCACCCATACACATAGTGCACAGATATACACATGTACAAAAATTAAGGTAGTAAAACATCACATGATATGCATTATTTTTGTTTTGTGTATTCTTTAAGAAAATTAAACAGTTTAATCTAGATTTATCTATTGATATATTGCCAGAGGCCATGTCATAAGTGCAGCAGAGAGAAATTAATCTTATGGCATATAGCCCAGAGGATGACAAAAGTACCTGGGTACATACCGGAGAGCCAGAGCCCCTGGAGGATTGTTTCCAGAATACGACTTATATTTTCTGTACATCATTATGTTTACTGCTTCCATGTTTCTGCTGTATTGGCATGGTATAATTTGCATGATAGAACCTCACTGAAACTAGTATACTGTGATTGTTTCTTGAGAAAAATACCACTCCTCACTAGACAATATCTTTGTAGATTGTAATAAAGATGATTTTCAAAAGAGTAATGGTGCTCAGTTGAATCAATGATTAATTGGACTTTCTGAGTTAGCATAAAAGATGCTGGTAGTTAGGACTATTAGTAAAGGTGATTAGGGACAAGATTTAAGCTATTCTGCCAGCTGCTCCAATAAAACATACAAAAAGGGCAAAAAGAGTCTAGTAGCTACCTTGCTTTTTGTTAGATAAGAGATTTTCAGAGGATGGAAAATAAGAGCAGGAAATCTTCATGAATTATAGACCCATGAATTCTCCTGTGTAAAAACAGATGATTAAAGAAAATAATTATTTTACTGCACACGAAGTTAGGCCTGAGTTTCTTGGTAATATAAGTTACAGAATTAGTCACAGGCCCCATATGCATCTTAAAAAAAACAAAGGTATAAAAGGAAATGTATTGACCCTATTGTGTGTAAAGAAAAATAGATAGTTTAGCTGACATCTCATTTAAAGTTTCTCCAGAGCAGAGTTAAAAATGGAAATTTGCTACACTGAACCTGCACACAGGGGTCTGTCAGTACAAAAGAAACTAGCTGAAATATGTTTAACTTGCTTCAATGTTAGTTATTCCATAATAAAAATGCCTTTGCTTTGGGGTGAAGATAATCTGGTAGGAAAATTAATACAAAGAAAATTGTTTAGTTGTGGGCTTCTAAGGAAAACAACTAACTCATGATCTTAATGCAATTTCTTTTTCTGTAAATATTTTACTTTTTTAAAAAATATGTAACATGTGGTTAGTGTGATAATCTTTCCTTACATAGATATCCTTTTTATTATGAGGTATAAAATGTATAACAAAAACATGAGACAAAGGAGAAGGGGACACATAGAAGGAAAAGCATCAGGGAAGAAGCAAAAGTGTAACAGAAGGAAAGATGCAGCAGAAAAACAACTGGAAGAGGAAGTAAAAGAAAAATGATAGGGTAAAAGAACAAAACAGACATAGACTGAATAAGAACAACCAGCAGAGAGCTAAAGAACTAAACTTTGGCTCTCAGATAAAGGGCCCATGAGTGTCTGTGCATATGTCCAGTAGTTCACAGTTTCTCTGATGTTCTGGGGGTTAGGAACCTTGTGGCAATATATTTTCTAGCAGTTAATGAATCTGATACTTAAAACCTTTTAAATTGGTACTTATGACATAACAGAAAGATCTCTTTCATTATCCACAGTGACTGTCTCATGGAGAAAAAATCTATGTGAGTAAATCCACTGATACCAAAGGTGTGGCTTCATTGTGGTGGGAGAATGGTGAATTCTTGATCACACGGTGGAAGTTTATCCTTACCTTTGTTCCTTTTAGGTCTGAAGACCATAAGTAGTGATAATATGCCTAACTAAAGATCAAAGGAGGCAGCAGTATAGCAATCTGGAGCAGTCTCCTACACTCTAGACCTTATAAATAAAACGTATTTTACCTGTATTCACAGACCCAATGTCTACATAGATGTTTGCACAAAAAGATGCCAACAAAAGTCCAATCATAGGGCCAGCAATTTTTCCTGCTTCTAAAATCCCTGGTTGCAAAAAAAAAGATAGGAAGTCACACAACCACACAAAAAGTTTACTTGCACAATAAAAAAAGAAGCCTTGAGATTGAATACTTTTTAATATTAGATTTCTTTTACTTGCTTTGTAAAGTTGGTATCAAATCTGGCAAACTTGGTAAGTGCTGTGGGACAATGGTCTTGTACCCTGTAAAGATTTGTCACTTGTATTGCTTTAATAAAGCACTGATTGGCCAGTAGACAGGCAGGAAGTATAGGGGAGGCAAAAAGGCAGGAAATATAAGCAGAGGAACCAGATTAGGAGAATTCTGGGAAGACAAAATGTTCAGTCTTCAGTCATCACCCAGACACAGGAAGCAAGATGAGAATGCCTCACTGACAAATGTACCAAGCCACATGGCTAACACAGACAAGAATTATGGGGTAATTTAGGATGTAAGACTAAGTTAATAAGAACACTGAGCTAAAAGGCCAAACAGTTTATAATTAATGTAAGCCTCTGTGTGTTTCTTTGGGACTGAATGGCTGCAGAACTGGGCAGGATAGATGATGTGAGAGTCCCCTCTTTGTGTTGCTTGTATTGGTTAATGAATAAAGAAAACTGCTTTGACCTGATAGGGCAGAACTTAGGTAGGTGGAGAAGACAGAACTGAATTCTGGGAGGAAGAAAGCAGAAAGATAGAGATGCCATGGATCCTTCACCTTAGACAAACACTGGCTAGAATCTCTCCCAGTAAGCCACTGCCATGTGACAATATACAGATTAATAGAAATGGGTTAAATCAAGATGTGAGAGTTAGCCAATAAGAGGTTAGAACAAATGAGCCAAGCAGTTAATACAATTTCTGTGTGCTTATTTTGGGGCTAAGCTAACTGGGCACCCAGGACACACAAGCAGCCTCTCCCTACAATAGATAGAAACCTCTGTGAACAAGTGGTGCCAATGGGGACAACTACATCCACATAAAACCTGAGAGAGCTTGGGAAGTAATTCTAGACACAAAAGAACATGGTTAAACATGGTTTCTTTGTAGAAACATTTTCTCGGGTTGGCACTGTTTGCTAGAGCCAAGCGCATCTCATTTAAGAGAGGAGGCTTCCTGACTCAGCTTTAGCTGCAAAAACTTTGTAGTCATTTTAAGAGGCCCCACTCTCAAACACTTAAAACGGTGCTTATGAATTGCCAACAGCATGCTTTTTGGTGGTGACAGGGACTTTGAATTTTCATAGGGTTGTAGCAATAAACATGGTTCCAAATGGTACCTCCACCGTGAAGCTAGGCTCTCAGAAAGCTAAGGAATGAGTGGATCCAGCCTTCAAAGCCACAGTTTTAATCCTAGCCATATCACTTAGCAAATTAAATATTCATGTGATCAGAAAGAGAAAGATATACACTAAAGATAGGTTCAGATACACAAACATCCTCTAAACAGTTAACAGTGTGTTTAAAAACTATGTATGTAGGCTTGGCAGAGAAAAGAAAAAGGATAAAGTCCAGAAAGAAAGAAAGAAAGAAAGAAAGAAAGAAAGAAAGAAAGGAAGGAAGGAAGGAAGGAAGGAAGGAAGGAAGGAAGGAAGAGTGGTTGGGTTTGGTGGCACATACCTTTAATCATAGGACTTGGGAGGCAGAGGCAGGAGGATCTCTGTGAATTCAAGGACAGCCTAGTCTACAGAGTAAGTTGAAGGAGGGCCAAAGATATACAGAGAAACCCTGTCTCAAAAAAAATAAAATATAAAAAAGAAATAGAGTTTAAAATAAAACCATGTAAAGATGGAAAATACGCAGAGAATCTGGATATTCTGTTATTGTATTATCTTTGAATTGTTTGACGGCTAAGGTTGGGCCAATAGCTGCAAAAAGAAACTTGATTATAAATGCTCCTAGATTAATTCAACATGTGTATGTTGTAAATGCCTTGACTTCAAAATTTAACTAAAAGTCATATTACTTTGGAGAAGAGGTTTTGCTTGTTTTTACAGAAAATGAGAGGCTGTGGATTCATTCTGGGTTGAGAAAAATTAGGTTTGATTAAGAAAGACCCTCTGAAAAATCTCCAATAGAAGCAGATGGCCCAGATGATCAAGCATTTCAGAAGACCTCTGTTGGAGTTTCCTCTGAGTTCTACACCAAGAACAACCTCAAGACTGCTGGCTGAGATGATCAGGTCTCAGAGAATATTCCAGTAAGGTGTTTATATTAATCCTAAATTTTCTTTAGGGCCCCGTAAGCTTTCAGCACCCTCAATCAGCAGAAGGTAGCCTAAAAAACTACACCCACATTCTGCCCCCCACCCTCAGAAATGAATGATGGATGTTTGTCTTTGTTTAGAGTGCTTTGATTTCAAGTTGTTTTGGATAATGATCAGGAAGAATGCTAAACAAAGGAGACTAGATGCAGAGATTTTGTTTTGGAAAAAAAGTGGAAAGATGTTGTGGGACAATGGTCTTATACCCTGTAAATATTTGTCACATATATTGCTTTACTAAAACAATGATTGGCTAGTAGACAGGTAAGAAGTGTAGGTGAGGTGACCAGGTAGGAAGTATAGGCAGGGCAATGAGAATAGGAGAATTCTTGGAAGAGGAAAGGCTCAGTCTTCTGTCATCACCCAGACACAGGAAGCAAGATGAGAATGCCTCACTGATAAAATGTACCAAGCCACATGGCTAACAAAGACAAGAATTATGGGGTAATTTGAGATGTAAGAGTTAGTTAATAAGAAGTCTGAGTTAATAGGCAAACCAATTTATAGTTAATGTAAGCCTTTCTGTATTTCTTTGGGACCAAACTGCTGTAGAACTGGGTGGGGCAGAAATGGCTGTCAACGGGTGAGTTATACCCTATTACTTCAGATATTCTTATATATTCAACATACACAAAATTAAGCTTTGTATGTATGTTATATGTACACATATATGTTAGAAGTACATATGTGTATTGCATTCACAGGCACTGGTTTCTATAATATTGAGAAGGAAGCTACCATTGTTTCAATATAGTGTTTCCCAGAAACTCATGTGTGACAGACTTGTTTTGCAGGGGCACCACTGGAATCTAATGGGATTCTACCAAGGCAGGGAATGGTGTGGGGTCTTCAGGTCATCTTGAGTTTAACCATAGACTTTTACTCATTCTATTTTGCTTCTCGGTCTCAGAATTAATGATTTCACTCTACTCATCCTTCCATCATAATGAGCTGCCTCATGACAGGCTTCTAAAACACATAATCCAGCAGCATAGACCAAAATTTCCAGAGCTGTGAGCCAAATGAATCCTTTCTAATTATCAATCATTATATCAGGGGTTTATTAAAGTTATATAAAAATTGATTGACAAAGAAGTTTTATTACATAAAGCCATATTCCAAATTCTTTTTTATCCTGAGTTAAGGTCAAAGGCATGAACAGTCACACACAGTCCCACCAAAGCCATGATGTTAGCAAGTGCCTTAGAATGCTTCCATAGCCATGCTTTCAAAGGGACTCTGATAGTTATCTTTGATTGTCAACTTGATACAACCTAGAACTCTCTAGAAGAGTCTTAATGAGATATTGTCTATACTGGGTTTACCTGTGGACATGTCCATAGAAGACTGTCTTAATTAAGTTGGTTGATGTGAGAAGACCCAGCCCACTGTGTGCACCACCATTCCCTATGCAGTAGATAATGATTCCTACAAGATCTCCAAGTTCCATTCTTTTTTCCTGCCCTTCACCGTGCTCCTCGACTTCACAACTCTCATTGTGCTCAGATGTTTCCTGATTCTAAGACTTTCTTGGCACCAGTGACATCCAAGAAATATTGGTGAATCTCTCAGGTGTTAGAGATAGTATGGCAGCATCAGAGGACTGTAGAATCAGCAACTAAGAAAGATCTCCAATGTGAAAAGCTGCTTGCTGAAGCAGCTTGTCAGGAACTGATGATTAATTCTTCCATTGAACAATTATACAAGCAATGGTGCCGTAGCATTCTGTGCATGGTTCTAGAAACCACAGGTACTCAAATCAATAACTCTTTTCTACCATCCCAAAACTTGCTTTGTTAGAAATGACCCCAAGTCTGATTTTCAAACTTACCAATGTATAAAGGGGAGTTTTCAGATTTGGCAAAATCTTCTATGTAGGAAATGCCCAAGGGCACAATGGGAGTTTCACCAATTCCACGAATAAGATTTCCTACCAGTACATATATCCACATTAAGGATTTAATTTCTTTTTCACAGTCTACATTAAAACAACAGAAAATTACATGAGCATTTGACAGTCAAGTATTACTGACAGTTAATTCAAATTTGTCTGTTTCTTAAGGCCAAAAGCCTATGATGACCATCAAGTAACTTATATAACTATGCTAGCAGTGAATCATTGAGTCACCCCTATTATGTATTTTGAAGGAATACTTAGCAATGGGATATAACTGCTATGCTAACTACCACTTTATGGGAGAGATGACTTTACATCTCTTTCCAATTCAGTGTTTAGTGACAACACATTGATTGTAAGAATTAACACACACACACACACACACACACACACACACACACACACACACACATATAAAGCAGTAAAATCCAAGATTTTGCTCACCTCTAGGGACTCAGTAATCCACATAGTAGACCCAGTTATTTAATATGTTTACTGCATAATTTCTGCACAACTTTGAGGATGGAAAAGGAAACACACATGGGCATATGTCTCTAACAGTTTATGTTGTACTGATATAATACAGAGAGAATATTGATGGAAGTCTGCATTCCGCACAGCCTCAATTACTTTGTAGAAAATAAATATTTACCTGATTAGTAAACATATATTTCCATATAGATCTTAACTTTTACTATCAACATAATACTCCAACAATTGGTGAGCACTGTAGTAACATAAACAATGCCAAATGGACTTAAAAGGTAAAAGATAAAATCATTGACTCCTTGTATGCACCTTCCAAGTTTGTTTTAGGCTAATGCACTGTCACTCTGTAGGGAAGCTTGCCTTGGTGTTTTCAGGGAGGTAGACAATGTACTCTGTTTTTTGGACTACTCAGTGGAAGCCCGTAAGTGTCCTGAGCACAACTGGGTCCTGAGGTCTAACTCGTACTTATTCCTAATTAAAGTAAAATCTGTTTCCATCTCTGTGTATTCAAATTCTTATCTTTCATGAACACGATGATTTCTGTCTATAGATCACAGGATTACTCTCAACCCTCTTATAGGGCAGAACTAAAAGTATCAGACTTTGGAGGCTCAAGTGATTTCTTGGGGCACTGCACAAAGAAGATTTTAATTTATTTACCAAAATGTAAGGAGCACAATGGATGGATTTTCAAAGGTCAGTTCAAAATGCAAAAATGAGCTAGCATTGGGGTCACTATTTTACCTTGCTTTGCCTAGAAGCTTTCTGTAGCTCAGAGATCCGAGATGCCTACTCTTTGATTCTCAAGTTATTTTGATCTCCACAAACTCCCTGATAAGAGTGGCATTCCATGCCTTGGAAACTGCTGCAAATTCTGTGGCATGGATCTAGTATAAGAGGGAGAAGTTTTGGCCCAAGGCAATCCTGCTGAGACAGTACCAGACTATGTGTCCAGGAGATGTGTTGGGTCCTTTAGCATATATGACTTCAAAAATACTCTTTAAAATGTGTTACCTTAAAGAGAATATGTGCACCAGGTGTGTGCAGATGCCCAAGAAGGACAGAAGAAAACACCCAATTCCAAAGAACTGGAATGACAGGGGTTTCAGAAAAATCTGATGACAGTGCTGGGAACAAATCAGGCTCTCTGTAAGCATGGTGTGGTCCTCTGAATGGAAATGTCCCCCTTCAGAGGCTCAGATATTAAATACTTAGTCTCCAGTAAGTGGTATTTGGGGAAGTGGAGGGAGAATGTCACTGCAGATAGCCTTAAAGAGCTTGGAGCCTCACTTTACTTCCAGTTTGTTCCCTCTCCCTTATATTTATAGTTGAGATGTGAGTTCCTAATTTTATGCTCCTGCTGCCACTTTCCGTGCCATGATTGATTCTCATTTCTCCGGTGATGTGGGAGTCAGCTCAATGTGCTGTCATTACCATTAATGAATAAAGAAACTGCCTTGGCTTATTGATAGGGCAGAACTTAGGTTGGTGAGGAAGACAGAAGTGAATGCTGGGAGAAAGAAGAGTGGAGTCAGAGAGACGCTGTGAAGACGCCAGAGTCAGACATGCCAAATCTTTGCCAACAAGCTACTGCCATGCGGCAATATAAAGCTTAATGGAAATGGGTTAAATTAATATAAGAGTTATCCAATAAGAAGCTAGAGCCAATGGGCCAAGCAGTGTTTTAATGAATATGGTTTCTGTGTGATTATTTTGGTTTTATGCAGCCAGGACAAGCAAGCAGCCTTCCTCTTACACTCTAGATTCTTCACCTCCGATTTGTGACTCTTTTGGGGATGACCCTTTCACAGGGGTGACGACTACTTGACAACATGGATATATATATGATTTATTACTGTAGCAAAATTACAGCTATGAGGGAATAACAAAATAATTTAATGGATTGTAATCTCCATAATTAAAGAGTTAAAGCATCAGGACGATTGAAAACCACTGCTTTAGAATTATAAGCACAAATATATTCTTCTGTGTATAAGGTCCCTTGCCCATGGCAGTCTATCAAAGTAAAAGAAAACTAATTAATAAATGCAATAAGTACTTTAAAATGGCATCTGGCTGTGTCTGTGGGGCATGTATAGAGACAGGTCACAATGCACTGACATATTCATTGGATTGATCTGCTAAAAAAAAGTCATAAGGTCTGTTGATGGAGTCATAAGACTGGCAGTATTGAGAAGGACTGACAGGAAACAGGTGATGTTAATTGAAAGAAGTTGGTCATCGTGTTGGTATGTCTACAGAGGTTATATCTCACCAATTCCTGTATCTTGTTTTCCATTCTTTCTACCCACCAAGAAGTGAAGAACAGCATGAACCAAAGATCATCTCACCATAATATTCTGCACATTAACTTGGGACAAATGACAATGGAATGAACCCTCCAAAACAGTAAGTGAAAACAAATTTGTCCTCCCTTGAGTTTTTTGGGATTTTGATCACAGTGATGTGAAAGTTACTAATACAACTTACAAATGGCAGAAGCCAGGATCACAGTGCATGAGCCCATAGGAAGTAAGGGAACGACTACTGTTTGGTTCAACTGTAAAGCTATGCTTCTCTTAAAGACAGAAAAGGAGACTGAAAGACAAGTTTCTGTGTAATCTATGAGTTGTGAACCTTGACAATGCACCTGCATTTCCATGGTGCTTCAGGCATACAGTACAGATCTGGGAAAGTTTTTGTCAGTAAATCTTATAGTATAATCACTGTGATGGCTAGTTTTTATCAATTTGACACAAGTCTAGAAATACCTGAAAGAAAGTATCTCATTTGAGGAACTGCCTCCATCAGATTGGCTTGTGGGCATGTATATGAGACATTTTCTTCCTGGCTAATTAATGTGAGATTTCACAGAACCCTGTGGGTCATACCATCCTTGTGTAGCTGGGTCTAGGCTATATGAGAGAGGTAGCTGAGGAAGCCAGACAACCTAGCCAGAATGAGGCTCTCCTTAGTGCTCTCTGCTTTGTTATCTCCCTCCAGGTTCCCTCATGATTGGGTAAAATTTGTAACCTTGATTACCTCTTTCCTTCCTGAGTTGGTTTTAGTCCATGTTCTATTACAGCAACAGAAAACCAAACTAGACCAATCACATAGTCTAGATCTGTCCTTATAAGTCATTTTCCCTTGTGGGACTAATTCTTCAATGGTGCTGGATTGGATATCTTTTACTTATTTTTTAAAATAGTCACATTAATAAACAAATGAGTCTTATTGAATAGACTCAAACTCAGGGAGCAGAGTATTTCATGTTATGGCATAGTTCCCTTCCCTGAAGAGGGAAATAAAAATTGTTCATTTGTCCTAGGTGCCTACTTCACATTCAAACTCCTTCATAAATGAGTGTTCAGTGACTGAGTCTCTGAGTAGAAAGCAATAAGAAGTTTGAGTCACCTCCTGGGTCTGGTGTTGGCATTAAGGTCTGGCTTCTATTTTTCAAACATAAGAAGCTGTTTGAAGACAAGTTGCTTGAAGGTGAGATCGTTTTTTCATATTCGTATCTGTGTGGACACAGAAAACATTCAGTTTGAAGACCTGAGGGCAATGAGAGCATCTATAGATCACTGATTCCTGCTTCCGTAAAAACAAAACAAAACAAAACAAAACAAAAACAGTATCCAGAGGCCGCACAGGTATTTCTCCAGACCAGTCATTCTGACCATCATGAATCCCATTTCTGGGCCAGAGAGACGACTCAGCAGGTAAAGAACTGTCTTTACAGCCTAATGACCTGCGTTCATTCATGGAAATCACATAAAGGTGGAGGGGGAGGGGTGACTCCATAAAGTACTCCTCTGATCTCTACATGTGAATATCTATACCCACCATGCATCCTCAGACACAGGAACACAGGCACACACACACACACATACACACACACACACACACACACACACACACACACAAATAGAAACAGAAATCTGTCTCGTGAAGATGGACATGCAGTTGTAAGACTGAACTCCATAATGCATTATCAGGGTGTGGTGGTCCTTGCCTGCCACCCTAGCACTGGAGAGGAAGAAGTTCAAGGTTCCCCTCAGCTATGCAGTTAGTTTGAGGAGAGACTGGGCTTTACAAGAGCCTATCTGAAAATAAAAACAAAACATAATAAAAACCAACAAGCAAATAAAAAGCAAAACTCAATATTAAAAACTTGAATGAATAAAAATCATAAATATCATAAAAAGAAATTGATTATCACCAAAAAATTGTCCCTTCTTTATAGTTAGCTCTCAAGCCTCTACATGTAGATGATGTAGTTTTCAGGTTCTCTAATACCAACCTTCTGTGATTTCTAAATGACTGTATCCCAGAAATCAGGGGGGAGAAATAAATAACAAAAGCAAGAATGAGAAAGAGACTCACTAAAGTATCATTGTGAAGATAAAAGCTTTAGAGAAACACAAAACAACACAACAAATCAAGACAGTTGCTCTGCATTTTCTGAGCTGTGGTCATATCCTCCCTTTCTGAGAATTCAAACAATCATTCTCACAATGCACTCGTTAATTTCAACATGAAAAAGAGTTCATGTGTCATGACAAGCGGTGACAGAATCCATCTCGTGACAAGGCGGTGTCATGAGAAAAAAAGTGTTAATGTACTTTAGTCAGAAAATGACAGACTGCAACAGTAGTGTGTTCAGCTAAGACTCTTCCAATTGTATGTATGCTGGATTTCCTTTGTTTCTTTTTATCTATCTATCTGTCTGTCTGTCTGTCTGTCTGTCTGTCTGTCTATCTGTCTGTCTGTCTGTCTATCTATTTATAAGTGTTCAACATTCTAATTTTTAAGCTGCATACTATTGCACAGAAGTCAGAACCACTTCTCCAAGAACTGCTGCCTGGACGTCCCCACAGAAGTTGCCAGTGAAGTGTGGACAAGTATGTGCGTCTCTCTTCTCATGACCCAGTAAGGACAGGCCAGCTTCAAAGAATTACTACCTTTGAAAGAAAGTGGGAAAACTTAATAATAGCCAAATATTTCTTGACATTAATTTGAATAAAATAGAAGTAAAAAATAATTTTAATTCTATGTGCATACTTTCAGTTCCCCGCAAAAACACTGAGACGCCAAAATATCCTTCATTTCACTCATTATCCACTTAACGTGAGGTTGTGCACTCAACATCTATTTATTCCCAACTGACAATAAAAAGGCAGAAAAAGGTCAAAATGAAAAAAGGAATGGCCATATCCTCACAGATAGAGAAATCTAAAGATGTGAATGTTGTTCAGTTGGTACATTAGTGCCGGGCAAACACCAATCCTGGGTTTGATCCTAAGCACTTAATAAAACCAAGCATGATGGACCAGGCCTGTAATTCTAGCACTCAGGAGATGAAACAAAAAAATAAGAAGTTCATGATTGTCCTTAAATACAGAGCAAATTCAAGGCCACTCTGAGCTACATGAGATTTTCTTTCAAAAATGAAGTGTGTGTGTGTGTGTGTGTGTGTGTGTGTGTGTTTGTGACTTGTGAAATACCAGATTCCTCCATGGATGCAGATGCCTGTGTGCAAGCCTGAAAACCTAGATTGCATGTCAAGTCCCACAGAGTAGGCAGAGAGACACTACTCCTGGGAGTTGTTTCCTGACCTCTTATGAAAGCACACACACTGCCCCACCAGAACAAAATAGGTGAAAATAAAAATAAACAAAAAAAAGCAAAAAAAAGTCTGAATGAGGAATTTAAAAATGTGGTCATTTAAGCTCAATAAAATCTTGAGATTGGGATATGGATGTAAGAATGGCCCCTGAATCAGAAGGTAAGGGAAATATAACTATAATGCTTCAGGAAGCAATAGGGAATGTTTCAGGTCTCTACTGAAAACTGCATGAAGAGACTCTGAGCTCAGAGCCCAGCTGAGTACATGAAGCAAAGTCTAAAGTGAGGGGTAAAGTGTACATAAGGAATATAAAGATCCTCAGATTCGTCCTCCGTCACTCCAGATGGAAAAGCTAACAGGTAGGAAAAGATCCAAACTGCTACAATGAGGACACAAAAGACAAGTGAAGAATCACTTTGTTTTAAAACTCCATGCCCTAAAAGATGATGCTCCCATTCCTTGCTCTCTGGTAGCCAAGTTTCTACCTTCCAAAAATGCAAATAATTTCTGCCTAAGGTCACAGCTTACGTTTATGAGATAGCTTAACATCAGCCAGTCCAGCTCATTCACCTGCCAGTCCAACTCAGACAGAACCCGGTCCACCTCAACCACCACTCAGTCCAGATCAGTCACCACCCAGTCCAGATCAGTCACCACCCAGTCCAGATCAATCACCACTCAGTTAATATCAAACACCACCCAGTCCAGATCAGTCACCACCCAGTCCAGATCAATCACCACTCAGTTAATATCAAAAACTGCCCAGTCCTGACCAGTCATCACCCAGTCCAGATCAATCACCACCCTGTCCAACTCTATCACCAGCTAGTCCTGTCTCAATCAGCTGTTCACTCATCCTAATGAAAACTACAAATACTCACATTAACCAAGTCTATTCTATATACAGAATTTCTATTTAGCTTTTTGTTGTTATACTTTCTTAAGTATTTACAAATAATCAAATATCATCTATAGGGGACACTATTACAGTAAGTCAAAGACAAACAAAAGCTACACTTGAAGAAGCCAGAGGCACAAATACAGGAGAAGTGAATTACAGAGGAAAAGATATTGCATTCTTGACAAACTTACAAGATGTTCTCACAGAGGAAATACTCAAGGTAGCGAGGTGTCCCTGACAATAAAAATTTAGAAATAACCTAATGCCAGTGACATGCCCTGGATTGAAGAGCTGGGATGACGAAGCTAAATTTCCCAGAAAGTAGCTAAGAGATTCAAAGACATGGAGCTAGAAATTTGGCAAGATATGAATGGAAGATAGGATTCCAGTGATCAAATAGTGGCTGCAGAAGAGGAGGAGGATGATATCATCAAAGAGGAAAGTGTTACAGGGAGTGGGACCCCTAGTTCCAGCTGCCCGGCTAGCTTACACTAAAAAAAAAAAAAATCACACAGAAATTCTATTAGCTAAAACAAGGCTTGGCCATTAGCTCTAGCCTTCTATTTCCTACCTCTCACATCTTGATTTAACCCATTTCTATTAATCTATGTTCACCACAGGTTGTCGATTGCCAGGAAAGAGTTCTCATGTCTGACCTGGCATCTCCATGGCAGTTCTCTCACTCTGCTTTCTTCCTCCCAGAATTCAGTTCTGTCTCCCCACCTACCTAAGTTCTGCCCTAACACTAGGCCCAAAGCAGTTTCTTTGTTAATCAATGAAAGCAACACAAAAACAGCAAGACCTCCTACACCAGAAAGAGTACAAAAATATTCTAAAATGTCCCTAACAAAAGCAGCTGGTAGAGTAGAGATGGCAAAAGACTTAAACCAATCATCATCAGTGTCAAACTATGGAAATAAAAGACAAATGAGTCCCAGTATTTAGAATATCAATTCTAATTTCAAGATGCACAAACTTTGAGGCAATGTCTTTAAAGGCTATAGGGAATTTTTTTCTCTACAGAAAAATGTGAAAGAAAGTAAACAGGAAATCAGAGGGTAGGAATTTCCTCTAGTGAGTAATTAAGCATAAGAAAAAGGCAAAGAACATTTGTTGTGATGGTTCATTCTTGTAATGCCAAAACTTGGAAGACTGAATCAAGAAGATCATGAAGAGTTTGAATCCAGCCTAAGCTACATAATGAATTCTAACCTGGACTTCATAACAAGATCTTATCACAAAAAAAAGCAGAGCAACACTAGGGATATGACTCAGTGTTTAAGAGCACTTGTTGCTCTTGAAGAGGATCTAGGTTCATTTTTTAGCACCCACATAGTAGCAGACAATCATCTCTAACTCCAGTTCCTGGGGGAAAATACACACTCTTCTGATCACTGCAGTCACCAAATACACACATGGTATGCAGATGTACATGCAAGTGAAACACTTACACAAAGAAAATTGATTAAAGATCTTTAAAATGAAATTAAAAAGAAAAAAAACAAAAAGAATAGAGGGGAGTCAGGAGGTAAACGAAGATGAGAGAAGGAAGACAAACAAATTCATTAGGAAAAGAGTTTTTGAGAATTACAAGGAAATTGTCCTGAGCTGGCTTAGAGGCTTACAGTTTAGAGGCAAGTGAAACACAGCAGAGAACATCAAAAGGGCATGCTTGGAACAACAATGAAGTCCCTGACTTGTGTTGAAGGTCTTTCATTCTGCCAGTCAATGAGAGGCTTGTGAAATAGTGAAAGACTCAAAGAAACTCAATCAAATTAAGGAAAAATGACTAAATATTAAACCTAGAAAAAAATAGAGTTAAAGTATTAAAAACTTACAAGATACCCAGAAAAGCTAAAACAAAAACAACTAAAACTGAAAACTATCCCTAGAATGCAGAAAACAGGGAAAGAGATAGTTGTACATAACTTAAATTTAAAAATATTCTGTGTAAGACACTTTGCTAAGCATGAAAATAAGAATAAATATTCACGCTAGTTTATCTCTTGCTCATCTGTGCTTATATCAAACAGTAGACTCCTTGTATCTGGAGTGTCTAAACACTCCTGATGAATGATGCAGCACATGTTTAGGCAGACTCAGAGAATCCATTCAGGTGTCTCAACTTTCTGAAAGCAGTGCTTCAAATCCCCACTTAACAGTGGACTGGATTGAACCTTAAGGAGACCAAAGGTCACAAGATTCACAAATCATATTGGTAGAGTGGAGACCATATCTTCTAATTTCCATTTTAGCCTTCTGTACTTTGGAGGAGCATTGCTCTTCCCAGGAAGGAAATTCTGAGCCTCATTTCATGTAGGGATGAGTTGAACCTAAAATATAATCAGAGACTGGAATACTCACCGACCCATCAGGAAATGAGGTACTGATATTAAGAAACACCCTAGGCCCATAACCACACAACCAGCACCAATCATGATAGGCCTGTGCAGTTTTGATCCAAAGTAACTCACGAATATAATCAACAAAAGGTTTCCTAGGAGAGGGGAATGAGAATGTTGGTTCAGTATAGTATTAGCAGACCATAGTCAACAGCCTTTCCATTGCTCCATTGTTTAAATAACCACCTTAAGAATAATATATATATATTCACTCTATATATGTGTGTATACACACACACACACACACACATATATGTCAGTTGTGACCCTGATGAAAAGTTCTCTTCCATTCTGAAGAATATTAAATGCTCTATTTAGGAGTATCCAGCTCTTGGTAAAGCATAAAAATGCAGGTGTTAATCTACACATCATCTCTGACTTCTTTTCTCATGCCTACTCTAATTCTATGCAGAATCAAGTGGATTCATGTTTTTTAAATTAGTAGTCAAAAACTCCTTAATTGTTCAACATGCCCAATCAGCATGTCTGCTTCTACTGCCACATCCGTCCTTAGACCAGGCAATACTGTTAATAGAAAAGTCAGAGACCTAATCCTCCAACTGTGTCTTAGGTCTAGATTGCAGGAGTCAAAAGTTCAAACCAAAAATTTATCTCTGTGGTTTAGGAGAAAATTGGGTTTAAAACTCAGTAGGGAGCCCCATTTTGACTTAGAGGCCTTTGATAAATATGCTTAAGAAATGAAAGAAAAATTGTGTCCTGGTGGCACAGAGCTGCCATCCCCAGTCACAGGGTGCGCTAAGACAGGAAGACTGAAATATCAAAGGTGGCCTCAGTTACAGAGTGAGATCAAGACCAGTCTGAGAATCTTACTGTGAACTCCCTAAAAATAAAAAGTAAATAAAGGGACATAGATTGGTCAAATGTTGTGTCTAATATTTGTGAGACCTCGGTCAATTAATCAGTATTATTCATGGAAAAAAGAGGAATTAGAAAGAAACAAATATATAGAGATCACATACTCTTAGTTTGATGAATATTTACCCTCCTCATACTATATATAAAGGAATATTCAGAAAACTCATGCACACTTCTTTAATGACTTAGAAAATCTCTCAGTCATCTTAAATATTTCAAAGATGTTTGAGGACTGTTTTTCTTCCAATTCTATTTCTCTATAGTCTGCTATCTACATAGAAGAGGTGGTGCATTATTTTAAATCATATGTGCCCCACCTTGTTTGTATAGGTCTCTCAAAGATCTGTCATTAAGATGATTATGCAGAAGGTAATGTCCTCTGAGTATCTTTCTAGTCTATTGATGAACAACCATGAATGCACGGAATCTTGTCTGAAATCTCCATTGTTTGAAAGGAAAATCATCCCTTCTTCATATTAGGCTTAGATGGCCTTTACATTGCCTTGTGATCCCCCTCAAATAATTTGTGGAAAGGTGTATGGGAAAAGGTAAGGTGTTGTCTAGGCTCTAGGAAGGTTGCTTGCAAAATGAACAAAACTACCATTTGGTAGGGAAAAGCTTACAAAATGCAGCATTCACTGGTCAATTATTACATTTAAGACTTCCCTTAAGTCACCTGTCCCTCAGTAGTGGTATTGTCATTTTCTACTTTAATTATGACTTTTTAACCATTAGTTGGAAAACCACAGATTTCACAGAAATTAGAACTTGGGTAGAAATTTTTTTCAATAATTGTTAACTGGATATTAGCATTTGTGTTCATGGTAGTGTAGAAACCAGTAGTCTCTTGAGGAGTCATCATTCTGTCTCCAAAATGCTTATAACCTTGTGGTTGTTGTAAATACTGAAAAAGATCATGCAGTCAATAATTACTAGATAATCAGATGTAGATAATCTTTGCTTTGTTAAAAAGCATGAATATTCCTTCCTGATAAGATGTTTAGATGTTCTGACAATTATAGTTTAGTGTAACTGCATTCCTTTTGACTTATACAATTTGATTTTGTATAACTAAAGCATTATCCTGAATTCACTTGGCATTGGGTTTTCAATATGAGTCCTCAGCATAAAAAGATCAGGACCCTCTTCCAACCCCATTCTTTTTTTCTGCAACCAGAGGGATAAAAGATATACTACAGAGCAAGCTACAGTCTCTACCCATATTTCACCTTTGCACACTTCTCCAGGTTCATGTTCTAACAACTTCCACCTTCCCATAATACAGTGAGGACAGAAGAATTCTGGGAAGTAGGAAGCACATTCCTCTGCAGTTTTGACCTGGCCACAGAAGAAGCAAGACCTGACTGCCTCACTGAAAAAGATACTGAGCCAGTGGCTAACACAGACAAGAAAAATGGGCTAATTTAAGTCATAAGAGTTAATAAGAAGTCTGGGATAATGGGCCAATTAGTTTATAATTCCTGTAGACTTCTGTGTGATTTCTTTGGGACTTAATGACTACAAGAACCAAGGTGGACAGAAACTCCAACAACAAATGGCACCCAACATGGGACAACTGCATCCACATAAAGCCTGACAAAGCTTGGGAAGTAATTCTAGACAGAAAAGAGTAGAGTTAAACATGGCTTATTGACAGCAGCATTTTCTCAGTTGGGCTCCACTTGTTAGAGGCAAGTGCTCTCATTTAAGAGAGGCTTCCTGACTCAGCTTTAGGTGCAACACCTTGCGGCTCTTTAAAGAGGTTCTGCCACAAAACACTTAAATGGTGTTGAGTGTTGATGAAAACTGACCACAAGCTTTCTGTTGGTTTCAGGAACCTTGAAACACCATAGAGTTGTGGCAATAAACATGGCTCCAGCTGGTACCTCAGCCATGAGGCTGGAATCTCAGAAAGCTAAGGAATGGGCTGGATCAAACTGTCAAAGCCATGGCTTTAATCCTAACCATATTGCTTAGCAAATTAAAAACTCAAGTGGTCAGAAAAAGAGAGATACATTCAGTAAAATAGATTCAAAGAAAAAACCCTCTAAATGGTTTACTATGTGTTTAAAAATATATGTAGACTTGGGAGAAAAAAAGAAAAAAGAGAGTAGTTGGGTGTGGTGTTACACACCTTAAATCCAAACTTTGGGAGGCAGAAGTAGACAGACCTCTGCAGGTTCAAGGTGTGCTGGCACACAATCTTTCATCCCAGTGCTTGAAGGCAGAAGCAGACAGATCTCTGTGAATTAAAGGTGTGGTGATACACACATTTAATCCCAGCACTTAGGAGGCAGAGGTAGGAAGATCTCTGTTCAAAGACAGCCTGTGGAGGCTGTCTATGGATGGAGTTCCAGAACAGCCAAAGGCACACAGAGAACCTGTCTCAAAAGCCAAAAATTAAAAGTAAAAATAAAAGAAATAGAGGTTAAAATATAGTCGTGTAAAAATGAAAAATACACAGAGAGTCTGAATACTGTATGTTATTATGTTCTCTTTGAAATTAAAAATGCAGAAGAAAGAGCAACAGCTGTTAAAAGATATTTAATTATAAATGCTGCTGAATTAATCCACGATAGATATTTTGAAAATACCTCGACTTTAAAATTGAAGACAAAAGGTATGTTACTTTGTAGAAGAGGTTTTACTTTTGTTTCCACCAAAAATGAGAGAATATGGATTTATTCTTAGTTAAGAAAAATCAGGGATGATCAAGGAAGACCACCTGAGAAATCTCTGATGGGATCAGATGGTCCAGATGTCTGAGTTCTACACCCAGAACTGATTCAAGACTGCTGCCTGGGAGGATCAGGCTTCAGAGGATACTCGAGTCAGGACTTTATCATCATTGTAAATTTTCTTTAGTTACCCATAAGATTATGAGCACCCCCCAAAAGCAGGACGTTGCCTGGAAAACTACACCCACATTCCCAAAAATGAACTATGGATATTTTCCTTTGTGAAGAATGTTGGTTACAAGTTGTTATGGTTAATGGTCAGGAGAATAGCTAAACAAAGGATATTAGATTCAGAGTTCTTGGATTTTTAAAACAAATGAGGGGAAAGTGATGTGGGAGGATGGTTTTTTTTCTGTCAATGACATTTACAATAATCTCTGATTGGCCAGTAGCCAGGCAGGAAATATATGCAGGACAACCAGATAGGAAGTAGAGGCAGGTCAATGAGGACAGGAGAATTCTGGGAAGAAGGAAGCACATTCCTATGCAGTGTGACCTGGCCACAGAAGAAGCAAGATGTGACTGCCTCGCTGAAAAAGGTATCGAGCCAGTGGATAGCATAGACAAAAATAATGGGCTAATATAAGTTATAAGAGTTAATAAGAAGCCTGAGCTAATGGGCCAATCAGTTTATAACTAATGTAGACTTCTGTATAATTTCTTTGGTACTTTTAATGACTGCAGAAACCAGGCAGGATGGAAACCCCAACAACAATACAGGACTGACTTGATCCTCATGAAAACTCTTTAATGATTCACCCTCTGTACACATCTCCCCTTCACATTTACCTGTCGATTCTATTCCCAGATCACCTTTACCCCTTTAAGAGACTGTCTTCCCTAGCACAATATGTTCTTTAGGACCTTGGATAATTAATGAACAGCACTTGTTCCATCTAACACACTAGAACATGACTGAATCTATGAAAAGTCAGTAATGAGGCATTGATCCTGACTGCACTGGAAAAACCTAGCACACATGTAGGATGTTTTATCCTGAGAGACAAGATGGAACAACCGCAATGTGGGTTAGTTACTTCACAGTCTTGATTTTCATGGCTGTTTTGGTTGAATACATTAAAAACAATTTCACATTGAAGGAAATAAAAACTAAGAACAAAAGGCTTCCAGGTCACCTTGTTTACAGAGAACACCTTACCCTCCTTCATCCTCTTTTTACTGTGATATTCCAGTTCATTACCCTCATTACCCAAATCTTTGGAATTATGTCTGACACAATTCAGAGACAGGAAAGCATCCACATCTTCTTCAGTATCTACGAGTGGAGAGCTGCCAACTTCACAGGCACAGTGGGGGCAGAGAAGCATTTGCTCCTTCCTTCAGAACACCAGTTCCTCCAGGCTCCCACAACAACCTTCTAAAATGCCGTGAAAAAGGCCTTAGTGTCTGCCTGAGTTATCAAGTGATGGAATTAGATATTAATACTCTCAATCTTATTCCAGTTTTCAGAAAAAGAAGCCCTATCAGGGTATATGTCAAAAATATTATAGAGATATTTTAGAAAAATAGTTTCTACACACCCAAATCAGGCCTTTCAATCACATCAGGAAGCATGTAATTCAGTCAGTTTAGAAAATCTTATGCAAGAAATTAAGAGAGAATGTCAATACGCAATAATAAGTAAATGTAACTCACCAATCTCAAAACTCCCATTGATAAATCCAACTATAGATGTCGGGATATTGAATTGTCTCTCTATTTGTGTGAGCATGGAAACCATGTAAACTCCTGATAATGCTTTGGCTAGATATGCCATTGTTAATGCCAACAGAAACATCTAGGAAGAAAAACATTTAAGAAAAAGTGAAAACTTTGTTTTCCAATTATATATCTGCCACCTACTGACAAAACATCCTCTACCATGAGGTTTGTTTCCAAATTAAACAGTCCTTGAACATGGAAGGAACTTTAAACTGCAATCTCCCTTCTACCATAGTATCCTCACTCTGGAAATGCAGTTAGGATAGTAGGTTAACTTCAGTGAGTTTTGTAGAAAGGTATGTCTTTGCTTTTTTATCAGTGTACCTGATTCATACAGAAACACACAGAGATATTCAATGTAAAACACAGTCATTGATGGGTCTACAGCATTATATGGTTATCTCCAAGACAAGTGCTGTTCACTTTAATGAATGTAAGAAATAGAATATAGAATTAAAATAAAGCATATTTCTGCTCATGTTTTCAGGATGTCCTTAATAATAGTGATATTTTGTATGTAATATAATCATAAAGTTTGCCTGAAGACCAGAGTGCAGATTTGATAGAGATAAAAGGTCTCTCTAGTAGCTGGATGCACTGCTTATCTGATCTCTCAGAATTCACCCTCTAGTATCTGACTCAGAAATTTTATTATTAAGAATAATAAGAGTTTGTGCTACATCTGGTGACCAACTTTTGGAGTGAGAATTAGGAAAAAGCTGCTTGCTCATGGATTTGTAGCCAGCAACATAGGCTGCAGCTATACACAACCAGAGTCACCACCTCACTGACTAGGTTTTCCTTTCTTCTCTCTTGGTAGACTTTTCTGCACCCCCTACTCTGACTACTACTGGAACAATTAGATGAAGGGAGGACATGGGAGCTCACTGTCAGTCTGAGGTTTCAGAGAGACAGATACAGTTTGAGGATTCAGTCAGAGGATGAAGTTTGAGGCTTGTAGACAGGGCATTCAGGATCACACTACAGTCTGATGATTTGGTAAAGGTTCTCTCTAGTAGCCAGCTGCACTACTTCTCTGATCTCTCAGTATTCACCCCTTAATAGATCTCTGACTCTGCGTTTTTATTATTAAGAACTATTAGAATTCGTGCTGTCCTTGGCTAGTTCAACAATTTGTCCTCCTTACATTCTTGAGAATGTACAGTCTCACTTCTGGAGGCAATAGTCACAGCAAAGTGACGTGTTTTATTTATTTATTTATTTATTTATCTATTTATTTTTGCTGGGGCAATATTCACTAAACCCTTTATCATAGTAGTCTAAGTGGTGTTCATGGCATATAAACCCAGGGAAGAATATTTTGGGGGTCTCTCAGATGCAGGATAAAATGTGTCTGTTTCTGGAAAAGACTCCTCACTTCTTTCCTGTTACTAATGAACTCATTTTGAATGATGTAGTGAATGAGCTTTCTGTTTCCCTTAACTTATATTCTAACACTAGGTTGTTGGTAATGTCATCATACCAGTTTCTGGAATTTCTGTACTATCTCATCTGAAATAATAGCCAAACCACCCTGTATTAGGTTAGTATTTACTGCTTGGAAAATTTTTTTCACCAGTACCAATTAATCTAAGCAGGATTTACATAAAAAAATGGTAAGAGTGAACACTGAGTTCAGGATACTTTAACAGTGTTCTAGAAGTTTGTCTAACACTAAATAGTATTTGCAGAAATATTCCCTCTTCCCACTACAAATCTTTCAGGGAATGCAATTGATAATTGATCATTTCACATGAATTTCATAATTCAGGTCCTATGCATGATTAAATGTCATTAAGGCATGAGTTCCCCTGTCCTGGGACACTTTAATGATTGTTTCCTAAACTTAAGAAGCAGAAGCTCCACTCTGGCACTGCAGACTGTTTGACCACCCTAACATTCTAGACAGTTCTAAAGTCAGAGAAGTTTAATTCTTTTTAAACAGTCATCTCTAAATTTTGGCTTGTAAACATATGGCTTTAACATTTTCCCATAAAATGCACACCAGTATCTACTGTTGTTAAACTCTGAAGTAACTGTGGTGGCTTGATTAAGAATGCCCCAATATGATCATTGATTTGAATGTCTGGTCACCGAGTAGTGGCTTGAGGAGCTCTGGCTTTGAAGGAGGAACTGTCAATGAGGGTGGCTCTGAGGTTTCAGGAGCTCTAGGTGGGCCCAGTACCACTCTATTCCTGTTGCCTGTTGATCTTGGTGTAGAACATTTGATCCTTCTCAAGAACTGTTTCTCCCTTGGGCTGCCATGCTTTGAACCATGATAGTTATGGACTAAACCTCAAAAGTTGTAAGCCAGCCCCAAATAAATGTTTTCCTTTATAAGTGTTGCAGTGGTTATAGTGTTTCTTCATAGCAATAGAAACCCTGAGACAGTAATCAAAGATGAGCATTGGGAAATGTTTATGATACCTGATGATATTTCACTATAAATGCTACTAATGTTGGTAACTGATCATCAATACCCTTAGCTTTGAAGATGGAGATGTGGCTCAGCAGTCAAGACCACTGGCTGTTCTTTCTGAGGACCTGGGTTCAGTTCTTAGCACCCACATTGTGTTTCAAAAGTACCTCTATCTTCAGTTCCAGGGACTTTAAAAACTTCTTCTGGCCTCCAAGGATACAAGACACACAAGTGGTACACCAACAAAAATGGGGGCAAAAGAGTCACATACTTAAAAAACATAAATTGAAGGTAATTAACATATTTAACAGTGAAAAGGAGGTATAGATCAGTGATAGAGGAATTGCCCATTGGGTTGAGCATCTGGATCTAATCCCCCATACCACTAAAATATGATGGCACCAAATGGTGAGCACTTAAACACATACAGAGATAGACACAGAGAGGGATACACATACAAAGAGGTCTCAGAATTATGGTTCTGTTTTGAATGTAGGACTACCACTATTCTTTTCAGATGAAATACAAACACGTTGCACAAGTAGTCCAATGTGACACATCCAGTAGACATCTTTCAAAGGTTCAGATCCAGGTGCCCTAAGCTCCTCAGAATGTGAGAATTGAAGGATAACTTGAGGGGCTGGGCTTCAATATTCATACATCGCTGCACATAAAAACACTTCCCAGGGCTGAGTCTGAGGCCTCCTCTCTTTTACATTAGTGTATGGAGTCCATTACAGGTGAATAAGGTAAATGAGCTTGTGATAGGATGATTTAGGAGGCAGCAGCTTAGAGAGGAAGTTAGGAGGGGCTCTGCAGAGACTAGGACCATGTTCAGATCCTTGAGTTAATCTAAGCTTGCATTTAGTGATGCCTTTGGAACTGTGAAATGGACAAAACTACTGAAAATCACCCAAACAGTAAAGAGAATAGATATTTTCTCTTACAAAATCATTGGAATATTGTCAAAGCTCATAGAATATATGCATCTGACTAGATCTTTGCATATTAATTAATAAAGCACTTCTACTCGGGGAACCTTTTCCTAGCTGAAACTTGATCTTTTGTCAAAAATCCATGAAAACTGAGCACTGGCTGAACCTCTGACCTCAGGCCACATTCCAGCACAGTATAGTACACATATAAAACATTTTAAGCCTCATGTTCCTTTAAGACTTCCTAAAACAATGATCCTCAACCTTCATAATGATGCACACGTTAATACAGTTCCTGATGTTCAGTGGGACCCAACCATGAAATTATTTTTCTTTGCTACATCATAGCTTCAATTTTCCTACTGTTATGAATTGTAAAGTAAATAGCTGTGCTTTCCAATGATCCTAAGTGACCCCTGTGAAAGGATCTTCAACCCCTAGGAATCTCCAATCACAGGCTGAGAATCTGTCCTCTAAGTTAGTCTAAAAAATCTTTCTATTTAAATAAGCCTAGTTAGAAAACCATAACAATAAAGTCAACTTCTTTCAGGCAATAAATTAAGAATACATTAGGCAAAATAGTTTTTATTTTGGAAGACTTCATATAAGCTGAGCCATGTTCCAATGATTTTCAATGCTTGCTCTAAAAGATTGTCATGCATATATACATGCACATATATCTAAACAATTCATACCTTCATTTTCGAAAAGCATGTCACCCCATGGGTTGCAACCCTTTTCCCAGGATCTCCCATCTTCTTCTGATGGTTTCCAAATGTTTATGTTTTAGATGTGTTACTGCTTCTTTTTCAAAAAAGCAAACAATTGTTAAATTATTTACTGAGCTGTAACGAGTCATTCTAAAAATGACAAATAAAAAATTTCATAGGTCTCTTGGTCATGATTACTATTGTTGTGATAAAATACCAAAACAAAGTCAACTTAAGTGGAAAGGTTTTATTTTAACTTACAAGGTTTCAATGACAGTTCATCACTGTTGGAAGTCAGGGTATAAACTCATGGCAGCACCCTGAATACAGGTGCAGGTGCAGAGCCATGGAGAAACACTGGTTCCTGTTTTTTTCCTCATGGCTAGCACTGCCTGCTTTTTTAGACAACCCACGACTGCCTTCCCAGTCATGGTCCACTCACATTGAGCTGGGCCATCACACATTAATTTTCAATCAAGAAATATACCACAGAAAAGACCATGTCTCCTTGGGACTGTTTTTCAATTAATATTCCCCCTTCCCAAACATCCCTAGTCTGTGTCAAGTTGATATAAAGCTGTTCAGCACAGCCGTGGAGGTGGTTCAGTTTGTAACGTGTTTGAGTTCTATGGCTGAGGACCTCAGTTTAAATTCTTAGCAATCAGCAGAACTTCTGGTCAACTACCTGGAAGGACCCAGATGGCAAGATCACTGTAGTGTGCCAATCTGGTACTCTAACCAAATGAACAATCGACAAATTTGTGAAAAAACTCCATTATAAAACCTAAGGTAGAGGAAAACATTCAGTATTGACTCATCTGCACCTGCACACATACCTACATATACATACATATCAATATGTATATATTCACTGCATTCACATACATGTACAGATAACCATTTGAGTAGGAAAAATGTAACTAATACCTTGAATATTATACCATTAACTTGGAAATTTTTTATTTTGATTGATCTTGAAAATAATGTTATAAGATATGTTTTGGTTTGCTGTGGGACCATCTTCAGCCTTTAAGATACCAGCCCACTTGGTCATGGTCTCTTATCCTATAAATACAGCCATAATTCATTCATTCATTCTCTCATTCTCTTTCATTCTCTCTCTCTCTCTCTCTCTCTCTCTCTCTCTCTCTCTCTCTCTCTCTTTCTCTCTCTCTCTCTCTCTTTCTCTATCAGCTGCTGGATTCATTTCCTATTCCCTGCTTGTGCAGTGGACTGTGATCTGTGAGTCTATACCTTTTTTATATTCAACTCTGAGCTAGTGTGGGACTATTTTATAGTCTCAATCTACAGTTTGTTGATTTCTAATGAAAAATCAATGCAAATTTCTTTAATTAGACTTTGGTGTTATTAAAGCATGTCTCAGAGCTTGTTAGGCTCTGCTGTTAAGCTAATGACAATGTTGTAAAAAAAAATTTCCAATTCTTTAGCAAAGCAAAATAAACCCAGATGATGCCCTTTGAACTTACTTGAAGGCTGCTGCCTTTAAGAACTTGAAGATATCTTTTGTGTTTGTTCTCAACCTCTGCCTAACTGAGTTCACAAAGTCTATTTTCCAGGCTTCCTTCTTGAGGTTTTTACATTCCCCTCTTTCCTTGAGTCTCAATATGAGAAAAACTATTTGAGGCACTTTGGCTCACAGAAACCTAGGGAGACATAAAACTTTACTCAAAAAAATTATGTATATAAACAGATACATCTAAAAGTTCAAAGTGTAGCCACAGGGCGATTGGGAATGAAAAGTCCCCAGACTATCTTGATACAAAATATACAGCTTTAATAAACAGAAGTAAGACTTACAACAGCTTACACCAGAATCCAAACGATCTGTCTGCTTGCAGGAGCCAAGCGGAAAAGCTTGCTAGGTTTATAGGCAGGCTTTTGCCTGAGGGCGGCATGCCCCCAAAACAGAATGTGATTGGCTGAACTCCCCTATCATCAAAGTTTCAAAATGTAGAGATATGAAAATACCAGAAACCCAAAGATACATCTTACATGGTTGTTTATCACCTGCATCTTAAGTATGGACAAACATGTACCTCTCTGTATAGGTTTTATATGGGTGCAAGTATTAATATACAATGCAGAAAGGTGACTTGAGGTCTATTTAACTGTATCAGCCTCATCAAACTATTTTGTTTCTTGGAAGTAGGATATTTTCATCACTATTTTAATTTTACCCCTATTCTAGAAAGCTCATTTCAACATACCAGTATTATTTCTCACCCATGTCAACAAAACTAATTTATGAAAGTCCTCTAAAAAGCATTCATTCAGCATGGAATTCAGAATGATTTTAAATTTATCAAACATTTAAACCATTTGCCAGAGTTTCAAATCCCATTCACAACAGAATAATTATGTATAGCACTAGTACTTTTTAATACCTTGAAGTTATATCAAATATTTACTGAAAATGTACTATTCATGAAGCATCAAGCTTGAACAAAGAACAAGACAAACTTGCTATTCTATAGAGGAGTGAAGTTGTTTGAGACAATTCAATTACCAGAGTAAATTGTTAGTCTCAAATCCCTAAGAACCTAGGCTTCTTCTGAAAAAGATACAACTTCTTTCTTTTTTTTAAAAAAAAAAAAATAGAGATCCACTTGGATAGAATGGGGTCACATAGGCTGAGGTACATCTTCCTTACTATTTAAATAAGAAAGAAAATTCATAAGATCTAGAAGAAAATTATAGCGACTGTCTCGGCAGTTATGATCAGACATAGAAATGAAATCTTAGATTGAAGGCTCCCACATAAAATTTCAGGTCCATTAACTTCCTGAGAGGACCTAATACTGATTGATAAAAAAATGGTAGATAGTGGCAATATTCAGTAGAGAAAATATTCATGATTTAAATCTACACCAAAGACAGATGAAACATCAATCTCTGGACTCTCCTCCCTGCCTCTCCTCCTCATCCTTAATGCAGTCTCTTATCAGTCTTTTCTAGCTTCTCATCCTTCTTGCCCTTCCTAATTCCAGAAAGGCCTCCCTGCACATCCCTAAAAAAAGCTTACTCCTCTCCCATATCAAAGCTGTCTTCTTCTTCCTTAGTGTCTCAAAATGTAACTTATCTCAATATCTTCCTTTCAATTTTTAGCCAAGAGGAACTGGAGTTGTCATCCAGATCTTTGGATGGCTTTTCCCATGCACACTAAGTAATCATCTAGATATTTGTTTTATCACCACCTTGAGATTCCTTTCCAAATGCTTTTGCTCTATCAGAGAAGTCTTACAAACAAGTGTCTTGACTGTAAATAAAGTGTGCATAGCCAAGCTCTTGAAAACAGATTCAGTGTAAATAGACTAACACACACCTTCCTCTACTGTGCCAATGCTGTCTGTGAAAAATATTGTGTCTTTTCAGATGCATTTTCAAAATGTCCATAGAAGAAATGAGGCAAAAATCCTACAAAACCAAATACTGAATCATGTCACAATCCCCTGTTGTGTACATTGTACCAAAATGAGAAATGTGCACTGAGTAAGTGGCAGTCACATGAACAGTGTGCCTTTGTTAGCTCAGCATTGTGCTCATGAAAATAGAATGTTACACTTTTATTAAACAAAGAACACTGTTAAGTCTCCCCTTCTTTAGCACCCAAATGAAGCATAGGAACACACTACTGTTGTTCTCACGAAAAAGAGTCTACAGCTTTGAATGATTTTGCACTGTTTGTTTCATTCTAAAATGTATGACTTAATGCCTGCTCTCTAAAACATTTTAAGAGCACAATGCTGAATTGCTAAGTCAGTAGAAGAACATACTACATAGCAGATCTCTAGAACAGTAACTACCTTGCCGTACTGACACTGTATACACACTGAACAGAAACCCTAGTAGTGGGAACTCTTTGCTTGATGGTCTTTAATGGCATCTGTATCCCAGGAGAATACAACTCTGTACAAGGTGAATAAACACACCCACTCATGCTCAGTATCCAAACAGTTTGTGATTATCAGTACATATATTCTGTTTTTCCACTTTACTCTCTACTATTAAATAAATGAATCAAATGATTAGTTTTACTATGGCAAAGCAAATAATACATTCTTGAAGAAGCCATAGGAGATGGCCTTCTCCCTGGTGAGGAAAATAAAAAAGTCACAACAGCCAAAATCTTGTGAAAATCACCTTTTTCTGAAATCCCCAAACTGCCTCTAACTGCTAGAGAGAGCCTATTGGGTATCTTCAGCTGAAATGCTTTCAACTAATACCAAACGAAAGGGCATGAAGAATCAACAATGATTTGTTTGAGTCTAGGAAAAATATTTTACCTTGGTCAGCTTTTCTAGTCAGATTTATAGTAAAACAATATTGAATTCCTATTATTGAGCCTGACATATACAGGTACATTTTTATATCCTACATTGAAGATATCTGGAATGTACTGCTCTAGAGAAACCTTAACATCAAGCACATTTCCCATTCATGTGTTTCTGCCATGCAAAAGAAGTCTGAAACACAGACAAACACTTCACAAACAATCATGCCAGTTTGTGACTTTGGATGTGTTCTAAGACTGAGAAACAGAATTAGAAATTCAAAACTGCCTTTAGCTCTGCCTTTATCAGAGCCAGTTTTGAATGCCATCAGTGTCACTTCCTGAAGGAAACATATCAAGAGAATGAAGAGATGATTGCAGGAATTTGTATCCACACTTGCTTTGATCTAGGTCTTATCAGGCAGCTTCAAGTTCTCTAAGACACAGCCCTGTGGAACCTTGAGCTTTCCATTTAAGGTAGGAATCAGGCCACGTCACTGTACAAAGTGCTCTCTTTATTTAACATTGCATTTTAAATGATTCTCTGAGAGTTTCACATCATGCACCCCATCACAATCCCTTACCAGTTTTCCCATGATCACACTCCCATTGTGACACCCCCAAAAGGAATTAAAAATAAGAAAAAGAAAAAAGTCCACTTTGTGTTACCTATATGCTCAGTGGAACATGGTCAAATTAAATAGAACTGAGCTGTGTCCCTCTCCTAGTGAAGGGAGGCCATTTGGTTCCTGGCTGCCTGGCTAGCTCAGACTGGGAGACTCTTAATCTCAGGGTCATGGATCAAGCCCCACATTGGGCGCCATTTTGTTCGAGGAAGCCGCTTGTTGGTTCTTGGCTTCCCCAAAATAATCACACAGAAACTGAATGATTTAAAACATTGCTTGGCCCATTAGCTCTAGATTGTTATTGGCTAACCCTTACATCTTAGTTTAACCCATTTATATAATCTGTGTGTCTCCACATGGCTGTGGCTCACTGGGTAAAGTGCTTTCCAGATCCAGTGGGGCTACATGGTGTCTATCTTACTCTGCTTTCTTTCTCCCAGCATTTCATTTAGTTTTCCCCACCTAAATCTGTTCTACTCTATCAGGCCAAGCTAGTTTCTTTATTGATTAACCAATAAAAGTAATACCTAGACAGAAGGACCTCCCACACCATCCCTCCAAACCTCTGACAGAATCCTTCAATTGTGGGAAACTATCCTTCAACATCTCCATCACACTTTTCAAAAGTTCTCTTGGGTGCTTCCTGTCTAGGTTGTAACTTTTGGGAGGTGCAGTTAGGGGGCTACAGATTGTCACAGAAGCCTTCCATGTCTCTCCCTCTCAACTGCGCATCTGTAGTCATCAATATCATATAACAATACTCTCCTCACTGTTCAGTCAGTGAGAACACAGATCATGGGCCTCCACCTGGTTTTTGTCTACAACATAAACCATGAACATGGTCCCTAGCCTTAGTAAGCTCACAGACCTACACAATGCTCTTGAAATCTGTCCATATCATGGACACAAACATGACTTCAGAAGGCAGAGATGGCTACATACATCAACATGGCTTCCATGGTGGCAGCATGGCCTATAGACATCAACATGGTTTCCGGCTGCAGCTCAATCATGGACATCCCCATGGCCTATTGCGACAATGCATACCATGGACATAAATCAGAGTTCAACCCCAGGAGGACCTGGACACAGCTCTCTGCAGCAGTAAAGCCCCAGACATCACCATGACCTTAGCTGGCAGTTCTGATCACTCAGATCAGTATGGTGTCTGGAGACAGAATGGCCCACAGACACTATGTGGAATGAAGGTGCAGTACAGACCAAGGACTTTTTCCTGACCCTTATAGGAAGTGTGTACAAAAGGCATCATCCAAGCCCCCATCTGCACACAACTGGGTGTCATGGAGGAGTCATGAACCCTGGCTCTTTGAACACACACACACACACACACACACACACACACACACATCTGTTTTATATAATATCAGATATCCACTTGCTTCTATGGTCAATTATTGCCTCCCATCTTCATCACCATTAAGGATTGTCTTAACACCCACTAAAGCAGCTGGCATGATGTTTCCTCTTGATGGCATCCCTCCACCCTCCTTGTCTGTGAGTCCCCACTGATTTTCACTTAATCCCGAACTGTACCCAGTCTAGACTGAAGCATTTCCTGCAGTTACTGCAGTTCCTGAAGAAAGTTTGCCTTACTCTGCTCACTATCCGATGCTGGTTTTTCTCAGAGAGCAATGCAATGGAAATTATAATGTTTATATGATCTAAATTATTCTACTTTTTAATCTTCACAGGCAAAGTTTGAGGAACAAAAGTAGATATCTTAATC